CAGCTCGGACACTTTCATCTCCGTCAGGATCACTTGGAGGCATTGTTTGTTCCAAAACTCCAGCAAGCACTTTGACACCAGGTTCGCCAAGGTGACTCAATGCCGTGGCTGCTGCCGACCGGACAGCCACCTGCGAATGTCGAATCTAATCATCTAATCAATGAAGGTGCCTCAGAAACGTTTGGTAAGATCAAAGCGCAGTTCTGTCTTTGTTTTTATCTTTTTTTTGGTGACTTTCATTCTGCCTTCTGGTCTGCCATCCCTTGCTACTAAAATCTGTTACATGCCTTTGGCATGATTGGGAAAGTCCTGGAAAGTCGCTTTCAGGGGCAGCACTCGAACTTTGAGAGCAATCGATTGGTCCGATCTCTGGCCATCCTCAGGGAAGCTTTTTCAGCTGGAGCTGCCACAAGCAGGACAAGATTTTGTAAACCAACAGGGCGGACCCCCCGCCTTGTGGCTATCTCGCTGGCTTTGGCTGAGATTGCCCGCTCTACCTGAATCTGGGCATCGTTCACTGAAGACCGAAATTACCATGCCAAAAACAGTCGCCAAGGAGCAAAGTCACGAATTGCCTTCAACTTCATCACGGTCTCGGCAACCTTCACATCTGTGTGGAAGTCTTTGACTTGGACCTCGGCATAGAGGTGTGCAAAGCGGAGTGCTGGGGAAGCCTGAGCTGGGTAGGCTCAATACACAATCTGCTGGTGATCTTTGGATATCTTTGGCAGCTGCTGTTGGTTGAGCAGCATACATATAGTAATTATATAGCTGGTTGGTTGCTTCACTGGTTGGTCAGTAGGTCGGTTGCTTGACTGCCTTGCTTGGAGTGAAGCGAGGTTTGCATGAAATCCGGTCTGGACCAAAGTGAACAAATACTCCAGCTGACAGCAAGATACAGCAAGCAGGTCTGAGGGATGAAGCTGGTTCATTGTTGCGCGGTTCGCTATGCTGGGCTGCTCGCGAAAACTCTGGTCACGTGGTTGTTTTCTTGTTTCTTGTTTCCTCGCGTGTTTCAATAGTTTGGCTGATTCTGTCTGGTTTGGGCGGTGGTTGTTTGCTTGAGCTGCTCCTAGCTGACTGCTTTTCTTCTGATGTGGTTCCTTGTCTTGATCGGTGTGTTGTCTGAGATCGTCCGCTTTTTGGTTGCCTGGCAGTTGCAGGACTCTCTCCCGGTTGTCTTGCCTGGTGGTCTTGGGGGTCGTCTTCGTGGTTGGCTGTTTGATATCGTTTGCTTGACCAGTTAGTTGTCCGGCACTGCAAGTGATGAAAGGTGAGTTTAAGTTGGCCCCGAACCAGCAGATGTTGAACACGGTGGTGGAGTTGAACCAATTGAACTGAGAGAAGGGGAGGCGTTCAAAGGAAATCTCTACCTGAGGACTGAGGACGTAAATCATATCAAAAACTAACGAGCAACAAACATTAAGCAAATCTCTGCCTGGAGCATTCTCACTATAGAGAGTGAACTGAAGCATGCTGACTCTACCTTTCGTGATAGCTTCCAAGCCACGGAGACTTCCTCTACATTGAGCCTTGGTTTGGCATGAAAAGGCTCAAAGCATTCTGCGCTGTTGACTTCACCCTAAGAAGTGCTAGGTGTAGATGCACGGTCATGCGTGCGGCATGGGTTTATGGATGCTGTGTGTGGAATCGGGAACTGCGAAAATGTTTCTGCAAGTCACTCTTTAACCAAATCCACTGTCACGTCCACCTTGATTGTCCTTTCTGTCGAAGTCCGAAGACTCATCGCGTCCTGCAGTATAAAACTGTAGAAACTAGAGATAGCCTCATGTACAGAGTATGCAAGTTCTTCAGAGATGCAAACTCAAAAAGATGAAAGCCCATGCCGTCCCCAGCCATTTCAGCAGCTGCCACAGCTTTGCTCGCAAGCGTAACCACACTGCTGCCAGCATCCTCAACTCGTGTGCATCGCCAGGGAAACTACTAGTATATGAAACTGAAGTGGCCCTTACCTTCTTTTGTTGAAAAAAATATATCATGTGTTCATCTGAGAGGACCGCAACGCATCGGTGCAGCTATTATCTTTACGTATATACGCAAAAACCATCAAAAACCGAACAAACGAATTTCTGAAAAAGGCTCAGGGACCACTCCAACTTTCTTGGCACCGACGTGGGCGCCTTTCGCTGCGGCTGCACCCATGAGTTTTGCCTCTGTCAATGTGGTCGGTCACCAGACTTGTCGCGATGGGAATGGCCCGGCCTTGGTGCCTTCAATCAAGCAGGAGGTTTTAAAGGTCAAGTCACGCCTTGGCATCAAGTCAAGGCATCATTGGATCTTTGTGAATCTTTGTGGATCCCAGCGGATAAAGATGCAAAATCCAAGAAACAATGTGAACTTTGAAGGGCTAAATCTGACAGACCCTTCGTCTCTTTTGGTCACCTGGGGACGACAACGAGCCAAACATGAAAAGTCAAGTGTCAAATGCCAAAAACACAGAAATGTCAAGTGTCAACAAAAGCTGAGGAATCAACTTCAAGAAAGGTGACATGGACTTTGGGATCAATCCTGGCACAAGCCGCTCTAGGCTTTTTGTCTTGGCGGGTTTTCCAAATCAACACCTTGGATCTGGCTGCACCACTTTGGTTTGGCCTTCAAGCCTTAGTTCCCAAACACTAAAACTGCTGCAAGCATCACCTATTAAAGAACAATCAGCAGTCGGTCTGTCTTTTACAAACAAGCAACCTTCTTTTGAGCTCGGACACTGCAAAGTCTGTTGCAGTTGCTTCGCATTCGCAACAAATCACGCTGCCCATTGCACTTTTGCAGCAGACATTAACTTCACTTGAGCCACATGTTGATGCATGTCGAAGAATTGTATATTCATCTACAGAGCGGTCTCTACACAATATTGTGTGTGTTGCTTTTCACTAGCACAACATACTATGGTCAAGTATTGCATCCCACACCCACAGTGACACTGGAACCATAGTCATTTAAGAGAGGATTAAGAAGGCTGTTTCAACATGCCGACAGCGCAAAAAGAAGTCTTGCAAAAGTTCACAGGACAGTCTGTCTCACCTCTGGATCTCGTAGTGACCACACTAGCTGCTGCGCAAGTTCAGGGCAAACTTCGATTGCCTGAAACCAAAGGACCCAGCAATCCCCAAAACTTTTTGTGGCCCAAAAAAGAGATGTGGGCAAAAAGACAAAAAGAATAAATGGAACTGAACTGCTTCACAAGGCTGGAGCAGTTTGAGCCTCCTTTGGAGCCACGAAGGTTAATCGGCAAATGGCTTCAGCAGCTGCTCTTCTTATGTTAGCTTCATCCTGTGGAATGCCCGGTAGATACAAGTGAAGCTTGCTCGCAAGTCAAACATGATAAACTTGTGGTGTCCTGCAGTAGTGCTGTCAAGTGTTTCATCTGGTCCACAGCAGCTTGCCAATTTGGCATTCGGCCCAGAGCTTCACATGCGACCTGACAACAAGTATGAAGCATTCTCAATTCACTCTCCTCAAAATGTGGAAATCAAAAGTTCCTTTAAACCAGCCATGGAAAAGGGAAAAATGCAAAATCATTTTGCCTGCAGCTCAACATCAGACTGACCATCACGAAGTGCTTCAGCCAAGGCTTCTGCCTGGACCAATCAACTTCTTCCCCTTCTGCCAAAACAACACGTTGGTGAAAACTCAAAGGAACCATGAGTGGAACCATACTGGTAACCTAGATGGTATGGAACCTCAAAGTGTGCCTATGTGCCGACACAAGAGTGCAACTGCGCAAATGCTCTGAGGCTTCTACACCTGGTCTACCCATGCGGGCCAGTGCCACAGCCGTGACAGCAAAAGTGGCTGGGTCAGAATCCTGGTACAACCGCCAGTGCGCGCAGCGGCCATTTGATGATTAAAACAAGAATACCAAAATACCAAGCAAGCTTGAGACTGCGGGAAAAACCGTGCCTGAAGTCGCTTTGCCACGATTGCGGCATGTGAAGGATGTGCCTTCTCTCCAAGGTGGCCTTAGGAACTGCAGTTCCATGTGAACTGGAAATTGGTGGAACCCAAGCTTCTGTCTTGGGAGCCGAGCTCAAGATGGTCACTGTTTTTAACCGAACTTTTGCCTCTGAGTTCCTGCAGCACACTTAAAGCCGCATGCGCAGCAAACATCAAACACATCCAGGTTTTCAGGATTTGGTTCAGAGATGTTCAGGTGATTGAATTTCAAAAAATTGCAGTTCTAAAGGTGTTCCAGCCACTTTGAATGTGTTCCGCTAAGCTTCTGAAGGTGAAGCTCCAACGCCGAGCTGTACTTGGGCTCATCGCCATCCTGCGACATCGCTCTTGAGAAGCACAATATGGCAACAAACATTGTCAACAATTTCACCATTGAAAGCCACAAAATTGTGGATGTTTGTCAGAAAGTACGGTTGATGGACAAAATCCTGCACCACTTCGTGGCCGTCCGTGTCTCTTGCGACCCTCGTGCTCCCTCTTTAACATTGGGCCGAGTCTCGTGCGAAAACGAAAAAAAAACACCATTGAAAGCCCGAAATCCTACACCACCTGGTGCGAGCCCTATTGCCGACATTGAATGTGGGGGCACGGGGGTTGCTATATAACCCTTGAGAAGTGTATTGGTCCGGTGGTGCAACATTTCGTCCATCAACAGTATGTCGAGGTTTCATCTCCTCGATTGAAGCGGATGCAGTCATTGAGCTTTGCTCAACAGCATCTTGGCGAAGCACAGGTGTTGAAAATGTTGCCTGAGTGTAAGATCTTTTGATGCATCTACCCTAGTGTGCGACAGGATGTTGCTTTGCATGTTACACAACTCTTGCCGGTATCGGCCGCTTCTCCTCATCAGAAAACATCCTACAGTAATTTGTACTCCTTGGTGCGCATGAACACTACTCCGCAGCTTGAGGACGCAGGGTAATTGGACAGCAATCAAAAACACCCGTGGCTCTGGGCTCAAGGAGCAGCATGTCAGTCTCGAGGTTTCTATCCGCCAACAAAACATATCATGTTCGTGCGGTCTTTCTGCATCACTTCTCAAAGACGGTAAGCTGTTGTGGTCGCTGTGGCACAGCAGATGGCTGCATCCGGCCTCTGAAAAGGGAATTGACTGCCCAAGTTACATGGCTCTATGTTTCAGCAAAATGACAATCAGGCATGCAGCATGATTTGTCGAGTCTAACGACTGGCTGTTTCTTTCCGTTTTGCCACAGTATGAGGACAATTCAAATGCAATTGGCCTCTTCGAGGGGGTGTGCCATTTGGACGTTCATTAAGCAGCCGGGGCTTTGCCGGCTTTGGCTGTGGGCCTCAGTACCAATGCGGCGTCTGAAGTGCAAAACAACAAGAACTCACTGAATCTTAAATTCTGCTGAAAAGGCCTGCTAAGCCTTTGGCAGTCGCCGGACAAGACCTCGTGAGAATGAAGACATTGAAGGAACGAACGGTGCTGCGGTTTCAGTTCCGCTCGTCAATTTACACCTCTTTGACAAGGGTGAACCAGTGTTGATGCCAAAAGCTATGTATGTATGTATGTATGTATGCATGCATGTATGTATTTTTTTTCCTCAAGTTGCTGTCTGCTTGCGGTGGCCCTTTTGGCCTCAGGGAGCGCCCCCGGTCTCAGAAGAAGTCGACCTCCATGCAAGGGTCGTCCAGGCCTTCTTCCTCTTCGCCTTGCTCTTGTGGGCTGCGTGTTGCTTGGGAGCTCCTTGCCTTCGGTGAGAACCGAAGCTTTTTGGGCGCTGGAGGTGACATGAGCCCTTGAGCTTCCATGGTTGCCTCTGGCTGCCCGAGTGGCGGCTGGGTATCATGGCCGGTGTTGGTGGCATGCGGTGCCTGGCTGCCTGGCTGACTGCTCTGGCTCTGGGTGCCAAAGAGCTCCATTAAGGTGGGTGACTTCTGGGTAGTGCCCTGGCAGGGTTTCTTGAGGGCCTTGGTCATGATCACCCGGTCATCGGAGTCAAGATGACTTTGGGCGCCACAGTTAAGGCACCTGATGCCTTTGCCTTTCTGCCACAATGCATGTGTGTGGTGGGCCTCATGGGCCTTGCCATAGCTCTCATCTATGCAGCGGCTGTTGAGGAATGCCTGGAAACTTCCTTCGTTGGTCCTTTTGTGGATGGACAGGCTGCATTTCGTGCATTTGAGGTAGCCGGTGGTCTCCTGGTATGTGTGCTCATCTGCTGCCTGGGGGTGTTGTTGCTGCACTTCCAGCAGTTGTTTGATGGTGCTGGCACGTGTGAGTTTCTGACCCACTGGCTTGTTTGGTCGGAGATCAGGCTCTGGTGCCTCATGCGCCAGGAGTTCACAGTCTTGTTGAAGGTGCTGTTCGATGACTTCGACTGTGAGACCTTGATGGACTCTGGTGTGGCACGTGTGGCACTGGTAGCCGCTCCGGTGTGGGGCCCACTGGTGTTTGTTGGGCTGCCATGGGAGCTTGCATTGGTTGATGAGTCGCTTCTTGTATTGCTTGGCGTTGTGCCCTGCTCGGCGGACTGGCTTCTCGTGGATGTAGTGCTGCGGGTCTTTGTAGATTTTCTCCAATCTGGCCGCTGCTTGCTTGTAGATCTGCAGGTGATCCTGGTCCAGTGTCTTTTGCCAGTCTTCTGCCTGTCTGTCATAGAGCGCGCTGGCTCTCTCGTAGGCCGCTAAAGCAGCATCTCGTTGCCGTCGCCTCACATGAGGTTCATTGCCAGGTGCCTCAGGAGTTCGAGTGTTCTTATGGATATAGAGCGGGGTGATGTGGTGGTAGAGGTGCTCATCGAAGCCTTGTGCGAGGTCTTCAAAGCCTTTCTGCTTTCTTGGGTTGGTCCAAGCCTCCCATACTGACCCCAGTTGTACGACCACATTGACCGGTGTGAGGACATGTGTGGCCAGTGTGAGGAGTCCCTGGAAAAGAGCCCGGGCTTTGGTCTGGGGACCTGGCACCATGCCCGTGATGGTGCTCTTCCTCAACAGGGTGCCCACCGAGTAGGTGTGGACGCAGAGCCCGAAGATCCACGCCTGGGAGCGCTGGTCATAGGAGGACGGTGTGGCATCCAACGTCACCGAAAGCCCTTGCCAAGGCTGGAGGGGCGTGATCCTGGGGTTCTCTTGGCACCCAACCGTGTGCCCAGAGAGGCTCTTCGAGTGGGTCCATTCGACCGCCAGTGGAGCATGTCCTTGGTTGTGGTGCCAGGTGCACAACCATACGATGTGCTTGGGTGTTGCGGGCACTCCGCATAAGGGGCAGGTCTTGATCTTGCCCCCTTGTCGGTGGTGGAGGGCGGCTTGGTTCCAGGTCTTCATGTGGTGTACCTGTTGTTTGGGAAGCACTTTCGCGGCTTTTTTGGCTGTGGTCCAGTCAAGACCACTGACCAGGTTCTGGCAGTTTTTCTTGCTGGCAAACCTGCTTGTCCGCTGCTGCTGTGCTTCTTGGTGGAGTGTGTGCTCAATGGTTGCCCAGTCATCCTGCGTGTTGATGTGGGCTTCTGTCATGAATGCCGTTTCATGTCGGTGCCATTGATAGATGGAATCGGTCGTCCAGCCCCATTCTTTTAGGTATGCCAGAGTGGCTGCCATTGGTCCTTTCACATGGTACCATGGGTGCTGGTGTTTATGGATCTGGTTTCGGAGCGTGATCCATGCCTTTTCCACGTGCTGGATGTGGTCTTGTGGCCATTGGGTGAGCAGGGTGTGGAGTGCCCGGATGTGATGAATGATCACCTGGTCCCCCGGGTCTGCATACTTTTGGTTGTTCTGGTCATAGATGACGTCTGTCAGCCCACCTTGGTGTAGGCCCAGGTGAGTGGCTAACCCTTGCCGTAAGGCCAGCCGGTAACGTGGAGCAAGCCCTTGACCTTCAAAGCCCCAGAAGGCCACCGGTTGAACTCCGCCACGATGGAGTCTGAGTCTGGCGCGGATGTTGGGCAGCTTGAGGCTCCGGAGTTTGATCCTCCTTTGTTTGTTTTTACGGAACCGCTGTTGAAGAGTGGCAATCCGCCGCTTCCGCCCTGCAGAGTGGTCGATTCCAAGATCTCTCATCACGGACTGAATGGGTGGATCATCAGGCCCCAAGAGTTTGTTCAGCTCCTTGTGGATGATCTTGTCAGTGACGATGAAGGCTGTTTTGTGGCTGTTGACCACCAGGCCTGCCGTGGTGAGGTTTGCCCTGAGTTGGTGCCATGCTTGTATGGTGCGCTGCGCCAACTGGACTGGATCTGTGTGGTTGCCATCAAAACCAATGTCGTCAACCCAGCCGTTCAAATGCAGGTCCGGGAAATCCTGTTGGAAGCTGGTGAGGGTGGGCTGCAAGAAGGTCTTGGCAAGAAGTGGAGCCTGTGGGCAGCCCGCTGCTACTCCCGTAGTAGCATGAAACCATGGGCTGAGTTCGCCCTCTGCCAAAATGGCCTTGTGCCCGGTGTAGACCTGCATGGCAAACTCAAGTGCCAAGGGTGGGTAGTTCAAGTCTTGGGCTGTCTGTTGGAGTCTTTGAAGATCCAATGTGTCGTAGAAAGTGCTCATGTCCAGCAGCACAGTGATGCCATGTTGCTCCAAGGACTTTGTGGTCTCTTGTCGGAGCAGTCGTTCTAAAGCCACATGTAGTGCTGTGGCTCCCGGTCTCGCTCTGTCGTAGTCCATGGCTGCTGGGAGGTTGTTTTGCCAGGCGTCCATGAGGGGCTTCCTCATCTTGCACCAGACCCGGTAGAGCACGCTAGTCAGCGCGATGGGTCTTTCCACCTTCTCATTTTTGGCCAGCATCACTACAAGGCTCAAAGTGAGTTGGGTGGGTAACTCAGCTTTGGCTTCCATGGCTTGGAGGATGCCCAGAAGGGGCTGCAGGGCCTGCTTGGGTGCCGTGCGGAGCAATTGGGTGGTGATTGCATCTGGTCCGCAGGCTTTATCTGGGAGGCGCTTGAGGGTTTTGCCCAGTTGTTCGAAGGTGAGCGGTGGGAGTTGGGCTGCTTGTTGCTTGGCGGCCTCTTGCAATGGAAGTCTTGTCATTGGCTGGTCATCTTTGGTTGGCTTCCACAGGGAGTGCCAGGCCTGCATCCGGTGTCTCATACGATCAGCCATTGGAATGTCCCGGTATGGTCGCTGCCAAGACAGCTCACTGGCTTTGAGAGAGCGAAACAGCCCTCGAAGGCCCTTGGTTTCCCCTTGCCGGATCCATTCTGCATATTGGAGGCAGGACTCTTCGCGGCTCTGGGTTTGGGCTGCTTCAAGTTGGTGTTGTACCGTTTGTTTCATCAACTCGAAAGTGCGGTCATCCCTGTATTGCAGCCAATGTTGCTGTGTATCCAAAAATTGTGCCCATGTTTGGTCACCAAGCCATTGGTGTTGCACCTGGTGAAGTGCTGCGTTGAGCCCCTTGATGGCTCCTGGTGCTTTGGCGGGTTGGTGCTCGATGAGGTTGAGGCGGGCCTGGATTTGTTCCCAGTAGGCTGCTTTCCCTTTCTTCCAAATGCCGCCTGCCTTGGTCGGGACCAGCGGCTGGTGCTGTGTGGTGAGGTTGGATGCTCTTCCCTGTGGACCCCATGAAGGTATTGCTCCGTGACGGAAACCCAATCAGCCAGGCCTCGGGCTCCTTCATTTGGTCTTTCATAGAGCACCAGGTCCTCCACCTGGGTAACATACGTGCTCCAAGCACGAAACCCGATGTCCGGGACGTTGGGCAGGGGCGGGAAAGTCCGGAGCTGGTGATATTTCCTGAACTCATCTTCCAATTCCAGAGCATACGTGACCAGGCAGTGAGGTCTCCATGGTATGGCCCATTCCGTCGTCATTGAAGCACATGCAGCCAATTTCTCCTCCATGATGGCGAAATCGACCGTATTCCCATTGAGCATGGTGGCATCCGGTGCCAGGATTTGCCAATGGAACTTTGAACTGAGCACGGTGCTTCCAATCTCCAACCAGAATGTATTGCCTGTTTGTGGCCTGCAGCAATGCCAGAATGCGCGCCAGGATCTGGGAGTTGGTGGTGCCCCTGGATGGTTTCATTGGTTTTGAAGTACACTGCAACCACCATGATGGATCTGGCCTTTGCTTCCCAGAGGAAGGCTTGGTATCCGCATCCTGCTATGGCAAAGGACTCGAGTTTGGTCAGTCCATGGGCTGTGTCATGAATGATGAGGATACCTCCATGGGCGCCATCATTGGTGCTGTTGGCATGAGCTGGATAGCCAAAAGCATGCCTGCCCCGGACTTCAAAGTATTGGCACATGGACTGGTGTTTTTGTTGGTCTAAGAGTGTCTCGACCATCACGTAGATCTCATTGTCTCTGGTCCAGTACCAGTCCAAGGTACTCTTCCCGAAGGCATGATGTTGGCAACATTCAGCCTCATAGTGTCTTGAGTGCGTCGTGCTTTCTTAGGCGGTGTGCTGTGGAGCGGTGGATCATAATCCGGGCTCTCTGGTGGTGGTAAAGCCCTGGCGATTTGCCGTGGAGTGATCAGGGCAGTGGTCTGGATGCCCCAGACTTGAACAATCTGGCCCGCAATTTGAGGTGTCAAGAAGGGCAGGACTTTGGGTGTGGCTCCATCATCCGCAATCCACATCAAGTCCTTGTACACCAAAATGGTGTAGTAGTGCCCTGTGTCGTGGGTGGGGCCGCGATGGCAAATGAATGCCATGGGTAGGTACTCAGCACTGGCCCTGGAGAATCCATCCAAGGATCTGGGGACCGTATAGGGTCCATGTGGATTGAGGGCTCTCTCGTGGCGACGGTGCCCTCAATGGTGACAGCTCGGTTGATGTGGCTGACATGGACGAGTTTGTCATCACTGAGATACTGCCCATATCCTTGGTTTGCCCAGCAGTTCATGAGCTCCTGCCAGGTGATCTCATCTAAGTACTCATCCGGGTAGTCCACGATAAGAGGCAGCTGGATGTTTTCCTTCACGTAGCCACCTTCTTTAATCTCCGTGCGTCGGTATTGCATCACTCTCGTTTGTGAATGGATCCAGAGAGAGTGGACAAAGTGCGCCGCATCTCCTTCAACATTGAGGTCATGTTTTTGCCAGAGCTGGTGTAGTCCTGGTAATCGTTGGATGTCCACCGGCTCTGAAAGTTCCAAGGAGGTCTGAACTGCATCTTTGATGACGCCCCAGGGGTCTCTGTTGAACTCCGCAAGATAGGCGCACATCCAGCAGAAGGCTCTCCAAGGTGCATTTGCAAAGCATCTTGCGCTGGGATTTCCCACCACCATGCTCAAGTTCTGGAGGAGCAGTTCAGTGGTGGGTGCATAGTATTGTGTGCTCATGGTGGTGTGGCGCCAGTCCGTCTCGCAGGTTGAGCTCGTTTGGTCCGGTGCCCCGCCGGTGAGCTTCAGGCACGGTCCATGTGTAGGATCACAGGCGGTCAGTAGTTGGGCAGTACTGTTTGACTGTGGTTGTGGATAAGACTCATGTGGTGGTTGCTGTTCCCCTGCAACTGACTGAGTCCCCGAATTGTGTATAGCACCTTCACTGTGTGCTTGTGTGTTCAGGAAGTCCGGTGTGTTTGCCCCCACACTGGCGCTGTCAACTTGAGACTGCGTCCCTCCTGAGCCTGAGGCAGCACGGCAATCCCATTTGGTTTGGATTGAGGCACTCAGCAACTCCTGCCCATTGGTGGAGAGTGAAATGTCCCCTTCACCTTGCCCAATGATGGGTGATGCTGTTGAGCCTTCAAAAACTGGCCACCTTTGGTGTGGTGGTGCCCATGTGGTCTTGTGCAAAACTGGTGTTCGTGTCGAACGATGATCCCCTGTCAGACTCTTCTGTTCCATCACATGACCATGTGTCATCTTCAGGCAACGGAAAAGTCCACCCCTGCATGTCCTTGCTGTCCCTGTTACCCACAATGTCCCGGTGGTGGTGTCACGACGCCGTCTGTTTTCCGCCGCTTCGTGGGATCATCAGGATCTTGGTTAGGCCGCTTCAATAGGCCGTGAAGTTGGTTCTTCTGCTCTTCAGTGAGCGAAATTCCTAGGCTGTGTACAAAGGATTCAACGGTCATGGGGATCTGTTCAGGTTCTCCTGATCCTGGGGCCAATTCAGCTGGGGCCGGAGTCTGGTTGATGGCCTTCGTGTAGTCTTGCGACAGCTGATGCAAGGCCTTTTGGCCTTCAGCAAGTTTGCTTTGGAGGTCCTGCATGTCCGTGAGGAGGGAGGCATATTGGGCCTTGACTCCGTCGATTTTCTCCTGAAGCTGGTTCTTCTTGATGGACATGGCTTTCAGCTCAGTCACCTGGCCTTTGAGTTTGGTGGCAATCTCACGTTCAGTGCAAGGCTCTGGTGCTGTGAGCTTGGTGACAATCTGCTGGACTTGAGGAGGCAGCGCATCCATGTGGGACTTGAGGATGTCTGTCAACTCCGGTTCCTCCGGTTTGCTTGGTCCTATGCCGAGTGCTTGCAACTTGGCCTGGGTTTCCTCCGGCAAGACTGACCAACTCGTGGTGAGGAGATCGGTGGCCTCTTTCTGCACCTTAGTCTTCTTGAGGGGCTTGATCTTGGAGAGACCAGGTGGTGTCCAGCCATGTAGAGCTGGATGATGTCTTGTAGGCTGGTCTTCCATAGCCCTTGCCCTTTCCTGTGCCGGCCGTAGGTGTAGGCCACCAGTTGCCACATCTGCGGCATTTGCTGCCTGTCTTCATTCGATCAGTCCAGATCCAGTTGGTGCATCCATGCTTGGAACAGGTCATGTAGGCTCTCCCCCATTGCCCTGTCATAGTACCTGATGAACAACACCTGCGTGTCCTCGAAAAAGGCGGCCAAGTGGGCAGACTGGGTGGCACCGATCGTGATCAGGCCTTAGGGCTCCGCAGTGAAGATGCCAGTCACCTAGAGCCCCACCGGGATGAAGCCACGCGAGATCTGCCAGGCACCAAAGAGCTCGGTTAGAGCGAGGAAGGTGATCTCGGCAATTACGGGCAAAGAGTGTGTTCTAGTGGACCTTGTTCCTGTCCAGCTTGTTGAGGTAGGCGACGCTATGTTCGCCTGGGGTTGTGTGCACTAGCCCGTCTCCGTGGGCTGCGGGCTTGAACAGCTGGACGGCTTGAGCCATGTATGTATGTGTGTGTGTGTCTGTGTGTCTGTATGTCTGTATGTCTGTATGTCTGTGTGTCTGTGTGTCTGTATGTCGTGTGTATATTCACAAGCAATTGGAATCCAACTACCAGAGGCCTCTAACTGCAGGAGCTCTTGTCTTCATTGCTTTTCTGCATCGTCTTACTTCCGCGCCCGGTCAAGGGAATTGAAGCAGGAATCTTCATATCTTGGGAGCCAGCTGGCTCCGATTCCAAAACCGTGATCCGCTCTGCAAATTCAAAAGGCGCAGACCTTGTCAGGCACAAACTAGTTTGCATGAAACGGCTCTCAACCCTACAGTGTTTTCACTCTGCACGCTTTCTCTTTGTTCATCACAAACATCCTGTTACTTGACCTGAGGCACCTCACTGTTGCATTGCTGCAAGGCCAACCGGGGCTTTGGCTCCCTGAAGCAACGCAAGAGTTCAATCTCCCTCTCAGCAGCAAAACCAGCACCCACAGCTACAGAAAAGGCTCTTGTTTTGTTTTGGACATTTCGGAATGTCGTCCGACACCTCTGGCTTCAACTGCTGAAGGTCCGGAGGTTCTGGGTTCATGTCCTCAACAAAGCATTTGGCGTTCAGAGATGCACATTGCTCTGCTCCACGCGGTCAATATGCCTCCAGCAGCTCATCCAACGCACAGCCCCAATGCTCCTCCACCTTCAGAAGGTGACTCAAGTGAGAGGCAGTGATAGGCGGTCAGAAACAGAAAGCGTAACAAGTGGAGTACAAAAGAATTGCAGGAGATGAAAAATTTGCATTTTCACCGTTATAAGCTTTAGTTTGAGGTTTTCTCACAACGGCCGACAATCGAAAGAAATGACTAACATGAGCGTCTTAAGGGCCACATGCGGCTCAACATGGTTCTCATCTGGGCTCAACATAGGCTCAGCTTGGCTCAAGATAGGCGTTTTATAGATACCAAGTAATTAGACCCAAAGGCTAAAAAATGGACACCATCTTGCCAAGATGTGTCGCAAGACGGGCTTGTGAGCTGTTTAGATGTCTAATTCACAGTCTTTCTCCGCGACAGGACCATCTTCCACTCTACCAAATTATGGTGAAGATAGGTTTGGGGAGGTGTGCATTTTGAATAACAAAATGTGTTCTTGCACTTTTTTCACCAATCGGTTGAAATCAATCCTTGAAGTTGGTAAAGATAAGTCCGAAGTTGCTGAAGATAAGGCCGCTAGATTCCAAGAGATCGACCTCATCTGGCATAACATAGCTTCAGATATGCTGAGGACCTTCCAATTCATCAACATGGTTGGGGAGGGCTGTGTCTGCGTTTGATTGTGAGGTGGGCCCCGATTGGACAGATGAGAGTGGACGAGAAGCTCTTAACGATCAGGATTCTTGGCGGAAGTACTTCTATGAAGTACAGCTCTGCCGATGGTGGGGCGCCCAATTTGTGAGAGGGCACTGAAACATGACAGGCGACAGGCCGGCGATCCAGCCTGCGCCGTGGCAGGAAACTTGGCCACCCACCTTGTGGAGCTTTGCGCTCCACGGACTTGCCAAATATCATCGTCGCGTCGCCATGCTGGAGCATCTGGGCGCATCCTTCAAGCGGCCAGCTGCGAACGATCCATCAAAACTCTACAGAGTGAGAGTGAGAGTGGGAGTGTGAGGGAGTGTGAGTGTGAGCGAAAGTGGGAGAGTGAGAGTGGGAGAGTGAGAGAGTGAGAGAGCACAAAGTACTGCGCCTGCCACGAAACCTGCACTTCGAGGTTCACGAAGTGCTGTGCCTGCCACGAAATCTGCACTTCCAGGTCCACCAAACGCTGTGCCTCCCACGAAATCTGCATTTCGAGGCTCACCAAACGCTGCGCCTGCCACGAAATCTGCGCTTCGAGGTTCACAAAGCGCTGCGCCTGTCACAAAATCCGCACCTCATGGCAAGGTTCACCTGCCACGAAATCTGCGCTTCGAAGTTCACCAAGCGCTGCGCCTGCCACAAAATCTGCTGCAAACTTGTCACGAAGTCTGCACTTCGAGGTTCACAAAGCGCTGCGCCTGCCACGAAATCTGCACATCGAGGGTCACAGCACTGCCATGAAATCTGCAACACCAACATGTCCAAAGCGCTGCGCCTGCCACGAAAACTGCATTGCGAAATAAAACAGCTCCGATTCCTTGCACCTGTCACGAAAAGTTGACTTTGAAGCACCAAAACACGAGGTTCCCCTGCGCCTGCCACGAAAAGTGACCACCATGTGCGAAAATGCGCACGGCGCCACAACGAGAGCGTAGTCGCTAGAAGCACCCAAGGCAGACGCCCAGATTCAGCGAGCCTGCGCAGTCGAAATGCACTTCGAGATACTTCGAGGATTTCGAGAGGCATGAATGCACTGTAAATAGCAGCGAATTAGCCGCACACGCCCGCGACGCACAGCGATCTAAGCACACCTGCTTTTCTACTACCGTAAGAACCCCTCACTGTGCCCACACTGTTTGGGGAAAAAGCCTTCAGTCTCCCGGTTTTCATCCAAGTTGGCATAACTTTCCGCCAGCTTTCCCTACTAGAGCTAACCCCGTTTCAATTTTCCTGTCGCTGATGACTTTGCCTCCTTCTCGTCCCGGATCCGACGAGCATGATGAATAACTAGCCTGATCCCCTACAATACCCCCTGCTGCGCTCTCGGAGCGCTGCGCCAAATTATGCTGAAGATACTGTACACTTTTCTTGCGCTACAATACGGTGTTGTTGGACACGTTTTACCCATCCGTTGCAATCCTGCAAGTTTGTACAAATAAATCCGAAGTTGCTGAAGATAAGCCCCGTCAGATCTCACCAGCGCGCAACATCCCACATCTAGGCCCAACATACCCCAAGATGCTTCCATCTAGGCCGAACATACCTCAAGATGACCCTTATCTTGGCCTACCCTAGACTCAGATGGCCCGCAAGAGGCACCTGTTAGTGGCTTAACATAGGCTCCGGTTTCCCTCTCATGATTTTGCTGCGGTACGTTATAGGAGGGGTGTGTTTGATACAGTTTGAGTGAAGGCATTGTTAGCAGGTCAGGCATTCCTGACCTGAGACCTGAAAGATTATGGTAAACCGAAGGAAGACCGCGCGTGATACGCGTTATGATCGCTCGTTTGTCATTTGAAGGAGAAAACCCAATTATCCGACGCAGATCCCATCGGCCGTGCCTGTTTGAATCTCACCAGGAGCTTCAGTCGCGCTGCCATTGTGATGCGCGCTCGATCTTTCCAGCACAAGCTGGCACCACCTTCCACCAGCATCACGACGCGCGACAAATTCTGCGGCTCCAGCGAAGCAATTCAGGCGCTGTCCCTAAGATTGGAGCGCCTGCCACTGACAGAGCGTCATCATGGTCTTCAGCAAGCCGCAGTTGAGCCTGACCCACAGTGACAAACTGCACATGTCACATGCGCCTTGGTTCTTTACAGGTGCAAAAAACAGCGATGTATGCTTGTATAAGCTGTATGTCCTCAAGCTTTGTACCAAACAAAACTGATATCATATCTGTCACCAGCAGATTGCACGCCGGACTCGGCGTGACCATTAAACGTGGCACGAGGTCACACTAGCACGCATCCATAAGTTCCCAAACACCATTCTCCATTCAGCCATGCGGTCGAGGGCCAGAAAAATAGTTATACAAGCATAGACCCCAAACAGCTTCAAAACGATTCGTTTAGACCAATATCAGTCCAAAGTCGATTTCTTGGCACGCCCTACTTTCGCCCCAAGAGCGAACTGCTTCATCAATGAATTTTTGTCGGCATTAACATCGCTATTTGTTCGGCCACACTCCTCTCCAGTAAGCCGGGCCACAGAGACCAGCCACAGAGTTCAGGGGCGCGGCCAAGACAAGGACAAGAGGAGGACAAGACCCGGACACAGAGCCGGGCCACAGCGCCCAGCCACAGAGTTCAGGGGCGCGGCCAAAACAAGGACAAGAGGAGGACAAGAAGAGGACAAGGCCGAGCCACAGAGCCCAGCACAGAGGACAAGAGGAGGACAAGAGCCCAGTAAGCCGTTCATAGCACACGAGCACGCACGCGCTCGCCCTGCTCTCTCTCTCTCTCTAAGTGTTTCTTTCTCTGTCTTTCTCTTTGCGCAGCGCGCTCTGACCGCGCCTTTCTGGAGCGTGAGCGCGCCCGTCCAGAGCACACAAGCGCGTGCGCTCGCCCTGCTGTCTTTCTTTCTTTCTTTCTTCCTTCCTTCATTGCTTGCTTGCTTGCTTGCTTTCTTTCTTTCTTTCTGTCTCTTTCTCTCTCTCTCTCTCTTTTTCTTTAAGCTTCTCTTTCTCTGTCTTTCTCTCTGCAAAGTGCCCTCTGAGTGCGCCTTTCTGGAGCGTATTTCAGAGCGCGCGCGCGCGCGCCCCGTCCATAGCACACGAGCGCACGCGCTCGCCCTGCTCTCTTTCCCTCTCTCTCTCTCTCTCTCTCTGTGTAAGTTTCTCAGTTTCTCTTTCTCTTTAAGTTTCTTTTTTTTCCTGTCTTTCTTTCTGCAGAGCGCGCCCTGAGCGCGCCTTTCTGGTGCGTATTTCAGAGCACACGAGCGCGCTCGCCCTGCTTTCTTTCCTTCTCTCTCTCTCTCTCTCCCCTCTTTCCCTTTAAGTTTCTCTTTCTCTCTCTTTCTCTGTCTCTGTCTCTGTCTGTCTCTGTCTCTGTCTCCTCTCTGTCTGTCTGTCTCTGTCTCTGTCTGTCTCTGTCTCTGTCTCAGCCACAGAGCCCACCCAGCCCCGCAGAGTTGACAGAGTTCAGGGGCGCGGCCAAGAGGAGGCAGGAACAGAGTTGACAGAGTTCAGGGGCGCGGCCAAGAGGAGGACAAGAGGAGGACAAGGCCCAGCCACAGAGCCCGGCCCAGCCACAGAGCCCAGCCACAGGAGGACAAGGCCCAGCCACAGAGCGCCGACAGAGTTGGGCCAGCCACAGAGTTCAGGGGCGCGGCCAAGAGGAGGACAAAAGCAGGACAAGGCCCAGCGACAGAGCCCAGCCAGTGAGTGTGGCCAGCTCTTTTCTTTCTAAGATAGAACCCCAACAGTAAACTGTTTGGGGAATTATGGATTTGGAAACTGGACGGACAAAAATGAGAACTTGCAAGTGGGAAAGCGTGGAAAAGCTCAATCCAATCCAGATTGTAGGCATGGCACACTGAGACAGCACACGGCAAACCACATCAGCGCATGTGGAAACCCCACACCCTGGCAAATCACAGAGAGTAGGAGAGAGGGAGGAGAGCACAAAGAGATGAGCACCCATCTGACCAATCCCACAGAGCCAACCTGGCTGTCAGGCAAAAGCAAGGGCTAGTTGCTACTAGTAGTAATGCCCTGCTACTAGTAGCGATGCCCCTGTTCCTAGTTCCTAGTAGCTTCTTGCTCCTAGTAGTAATGCCACGAGCACGGCACAAACAGCAATGCAAGAAAACTGCCCAAACTACGGCCGGAACTTAGCGCAATCAGTACTTCCAATTTCATGCCAAGCCAAGATGCTTATACCTAAGAAGATGAAAGCCTCCAGAAGAAGACATCAATGCGGTTATGGGGCGAATGCGACAGCGCACTTCAACTGCTGTCAGGCATTGGGGAAATACTGTAGAAGGCAGAGAGAGGCAAAGTCTCGCGTTGAGGGTTGGTATGAGAGGCTCTTTATACACAAGGTCTTGATCAAGGGCGCGCTCATTGTTAGAAGTAATAGGATATAGAAATGGAGCCGAAAGGTTGAGTTGAGCAGGACATTTACAGTGTGGGTGGACAGTGGGGGGATAAAGGTTGACATTCACAGGTTGAGGGGGACGCCCTCTTTCTTTTGGTTCAGAGGCGCTTTCAAGCTGAAAAAGGGGCCATAGGATAGCCACGGGAAAACTGAAGGTTGAGAGACTCAGAGTGATAGAGCCTATATACACACGCCTGGATCAACTCCCATCCGCCGTCACCTGTCATAGGATAGACTTCGATGCGTACAAAAGTTCGACTCCCTTGGACATCTACAGCTCAGAGGGGTGCCCTTTTTCATCCGGTAACACCCCTTGTCACAATAAGAAACCAGATGGAACCCACGAACCCGAACGCAAACACGTTCGAAAAACTAATATGTCCAAATGACACTCTTGTAGGACACTCTTGCGGGACACTCTGTAGGACACTCTTGTAGCACACTCTTGTGGGTCACTCTTGTAGGAAACTCTTGTGGGACACTCTTGTAGGACACTCTTGTGGGACACTCTTGTAGGACACTCTTGTGGGACACTCTTGTAGAACACTTGTGTGGGTCACTTGCAGGACACTCTTGTGGGACACTCTTGCGGGTCACTTGCAGGACACTCTTGTGGGACACTCTTACACGACACTCTTGTAGGACACTCTTGTGGGACACTCTTGTAGGACACTCTTGTAGGACACTCTTGTCGGAAACTCTTGTGGGACACTCTTGTAGGACACTCTTGTAGGACATTCTTGTAGGACACTCTTGTGGGACACTCTTGTGGGACACTCTTGTGGGACACTCTTGTAGGACACTCTTGTGGGACACTCTTGTAGGACACTCTTGTGGGATACTCCTGTAGGACACTCTTAAGGGCCACTCTTGTGAGACACTCTTGTGGGACACTCTTGTGGGACACTCTTGTAGGAAACTCTTGTGGGACACTCTTCTAGGGCACTCTTGTGGGACACTCTTGT